CACTTCTCTTCCCAGATTTATTGGTGATTTGGCCGGACAGTGCCGGCTCACGGCCTTTTGTTCCACTCCCATTGTCCGGGTCCGTCGGCCAGTTTCACACCGTCCGTCTGTCCGTGCTCTCGATCTCTGTCTGTCCCTCCTCCCCGGGAGAGACAGGGAAGAGGAGAGGACGGCCATGGGAGGACATTGACGACCATCTCCCCGGCCAACCCTGCGTCCTGCCAGCAATCAAGGCGAAACGACGAGAAATCAGGGACGTGAGGATCGGTAAAAGTGAAAATAGCTCAATGGCTCAGCCCCACGACCGACTTGTCGATTCGCCGGTGATAAAGTTGATGGCGGGCTTCCGCCTTGATGGTAGACTTCAGGGTGGAATTATGGGGCGATTTTGCGATGTGATAGCATGGCGTGTATCTAAAATGACCATTTTCTTCCGGTCGGAAAATTGGCATCACTAACTGCGGTGACCTATGGGTCACAACTGGAGCGCCTGTGAGAATGGACAGACCAGGAAAATGAAAGGCGAATTGTTTTCCAAGACACTGTCCCTAATGTCCTAATCGTCCGCCGAGGAAAATTACAGCCATTGTCAACACTGAAGGATGGTGATCATTTAGCCTGTGTAGTGTGTACACTCGCGTCGCCTTATTTCGCATGCATTTTCACTTTCGTTTTCAAGCTTCGGAGAACAATCTTTTATTCGGCATAATCCTAGCAGTCATAACTACACATGACCTTATCAACTTTCGACACCAAATCTTAATGGCAATAATGGAATCGAATTACAACCATGAATCTTAGGAGACAAAAGTTATTTTGACAGTGCTGAATATGCGAGCTATTATTCGTTATTCGGTTGTGGCATTCTCCATGAGAACCTAAATCTTTGGTTTACCATCAATGTCACTAAAAGTTTTGAAGTCCGTTTTCTTTGGTGGCTGATGTGCTCCCTGACCCTTTTCTATAGTTTGCTAACGAGTAACGCTCCTTCGGTTTGCCAGTGTCCCTGACGGCCCTCCCTCCAGTCCCTCCCTCTGTTCTTGTTGGTATAGTGATGTCCCTTCATCTGCATGGTGTTCGCTGATGTCTCTGCAGCTCTCCGATCCCAGTGTTCGATGATGTCTTTTTTCAGCTTAAAATGGTCGCCGAGGTCCTACATATATCCTACCTTCTATATTCTCCTACCTTCTACCTTCTATTTTCAGTGGTCGCTGACTTCACTGACTTCTACATCCCATTGTTTTCAATGATCGCTGACGCCTTCCTCCCCTCCGTTTGCAGTGGTCGCTGACTGTGACGCCTCTCCCCCCTCCGTTCGCAGTGGTCGCTGACGCCTCTCCCCCCTCCGTTCGCAGTGGTCGCTGACGCCTCTCCCCCCTCCGTTCGCAGTGGTCGCTGACTGTGACACCTCTCCCCCTCCGTTTGCAGTGGTCGCTGACTGTGACGCCTCTCCCCCTCCCTCCGTTCGCAGTGGTCGCTGACGCCTCTCCCCCCTCCGTTCGCAGTGGTCTCTGATGCACCAGGACGACGCGCTGTTCAGACAGCTCCTGGCGCTCAACGACTCGATCGAGGCGCTGAAGAGAGCCGACACCATGTCGCTCTCATCTGCCTCCTCGCTCAGCTCTCTGCCCGAGCTGGCCGACGAGGAGAGCTGCTCGCCTAGCTCGACCCTGTCATCGACCAGCTCCGGACGCCAGAGCCATCTGTCGGCAAACTCCGGCAACTACATGGTGGGCGGGCCACACGCCATGAATATCATTGCCGTCTGTATCGCTTGTGCGGGGGGGGGGGGGGGACACAATTACATTTTTATTTATGAATAGAAGCTTGACTTTAAAAGCATACCATAAAGGTATTTAATAACATAAATTTGCTGGGTTTTAGTTGATGATGACCGAACTATGATTAACCCGGGCCCTGCTGGGGGGGCGTTTGAACACCCCTCTTGTGGTTTTTCGCGAATAACTCAAAAACGGCGGCGCGGAGCGCCGCCGTTTTTGGTACACCTTATCATACATCAATTCTACACATGTTGTGAAAATTTCAGACCAAGGTCATTCAAGGTCAGGTCACCAGGTCACTTGAAGTGACCTCACCTCAAAAAAGTTTCAATGTCTGTCATAGCTACACCGAGTGACCGATCGCTTTGAAACTTTCAGCGATTGCTAAGAGCAATAGTATGTACAAAATTTTTATCTCAGAATTTTGATATCGGTGACCTAAGGTCAGGTCAATTTTGCGACCTTCCCCATTGTAAGTCAATGGGAGAAAACTGAAATGCGCCTCTTTTGGACGAAATACATTATAAAGACTCCCAAATACTGAATTACAAGTGGTTTAGACACACTGAACATGAAAATGGTGTCCGTGACCCCTGTTTATGCCCTGAGGTCATCTTAGGTCACGAATGGTATCTAACAGTTTTTCGCAAATAACTTTTGATAGAGGCATGCTAGAGCGATGAAAACGCCTTAGATGTGTTCAGCTCGACGATACGGATCGACTGATATGCAACATGACCCTTTCCGGTCAGGTCATGACCTCGACCTGAGGTCAAATTTTCAAGTTGACCTTTCAAGGTCAAGTTATAGTTCATTCGATGCGTCTTGACGAGAGGAACACGATGCCGGTAAAAGTAAGCTCGTACAAGTCTTGGGTCAAAAGTTATTGCAGAAAAACTGTTTCCGAAAAATCGGCTATTTTTGCAGTTTTTGCCCCCTGCGGGCAAAACCGTTGACGTTAGGTCAAATCTGATAAAATTACTCAGAAAGGGCGTTAATAGAGCAATCGAATGCGCTTTTCCGCGGCTCTGTAGCTCTATTGGTTCCCGAGTTATGCGTTGGCTTCTTGGAAATTGTCGACATTCGACCTGGAAATCGGCGAAATTTTGCCTTCAATGACCTCTGGTGACCTGACCTTTGACCTGACCAAAAAATTGACCGAAGTGATTTCCTCATTATTTTTGACGCTCTTTCGAACGCCGCCTTCCGCGTATCGCTACGTGGCCCAGGAGCCGAATTAGAAGGGGGGGTGTTCAAACACCCCCAGCAGGGCGTGGAAATCCAGGACCCCCAGCCGGGCGCGGGTTAAGGTGTAGGTATGGTAGGTATTGGTCGTTTATCGATGGATCGCTAGATAGGTATGCCTATCCTGAGGCTATAGAACTCCGCCTAGCCTATTATCTTCTTTTGCAAGTGTCAGTTGCCCTGGTTAGTGGGTGTGCTATAACCTGCTATAACTAGCTTATATGGCTATAACTTGCCTTTTGTTTCGGCCCCATGTTTTTCGCTGGCCTTAGATATTGTTATGCTATACGAGTGTTGCAGCTCTCCGCCAAAATGCCTTAGTTAGGCTGACCGTTTTAGCGTTTGTTTGGTCTGACCAACCGTGAATGACTTGTCCCACAGGGATAGACTCAGCTACCCAGGCTCAGTATTTCTGTCACACCACTTAAATTTATTTTCCCTATATCCAGTCATCTCACGGCCCTTGATCCAGAACCCAGATTATTATCTAACGGTAGGTAATCCAGCAAACAAAATAACGATCACTTCATAATTATGTGCCAAAACCAAGCTGATCAATGGTCTCCGCTTAATTGAATGAAACTGAGTAGCGGACGCTTAACGTTTATTAACGCGTTTTTTTTGCATGTTTCAGCTCCTGAAGACCAAGTACCGGTCTCAGCCGCAGCTGACAGCCGAACTGCTCGCCGGTGACGGGGCCGGTCGGCTGACAGCCAGCCGGTCCTTTTCCGAGATGTCGCCACCATCGCTCCGCCAGACGTCGTCTCTGTCGCTGCGCCAGCTGGACAAGCTGAGACCGCCAAGCGGACACAGAAAGCAGGCATCATACGACTCTGGGATAGCCGACCAAGAGCCCAGAGGGAACACCTGAGGGAGGCCAGCGGTGAAATATCTGCCGAGACTACCGGAATATCACAGACCGACCCAAGAGCCGGTGAAAAGCCGTGGTCTTGGCAGGTGGACTGATGCGGTTATGGAAAGACGAATCTTTCAGAAACGGCGTCGAGTCTGTTTCCGTTTGGTGGACCTCAGTGTGCACATATGCGTGTTTGTATTTACTCTGTGATCTCAGCCGCCCAAATTTGATGTGTCGGCTATTTGTGAAGACAGAATGAGGCTTAGAGCTGTCCAGTGTTCAGTTTTGGTATGCTGAAATGCATGGCTGATAAGGCACGTACGATTTATTTAGTGTGTCTTCTTTGATGCTCTTAATATTTGCTGTTAGACAACCGGATGCATAAGCAGCTCTTCTGTTTTTAGCATTCACTTTAAGATTAATCAGTATCTTTTAAACAACTGTATTTTTGTGTGTTTCGTGACGGAATATTTTATCTGCTGTTGGAGCCAGAGCGTGTCCAGGTGACTGAGAATGTGCATTGAAAATAAATGTTAAGAGCGTGCAGTAGCGACATTCAGAAAAAAACGAGTGGTAAACTGACACTGGAGAGCGTAGCGTAAACAGACCCTGAAGAATCCTGAGTGCTTAGCCAGACAGCCAGACAGTTTTTTCATGATCGTTTGTGCATTGGAATAATAACGGTTCCGAAGTTAGACGTAAGTAATAGGCATAATAAGCTTTCTTTCATGGCCAAAATGGCGCGTTTTCCAGCTTTTCATTAATACCTACGTTCCATGGAAATTGACACCAAGGTCGATTGCTCGAACACAAGATGATTGCTTGGACACAGGACAAGCTCTGCAGAGTTCAGTGCATTCATGGTGGGACATGCATACATCGGCATACATCCAGCAGCTCACAGATGTCAGCCCTGTCGCGCCCGCCGCCTAGATGTCGCTGTCGTCGGTTCAGCGGCGCATGACCGGCAACCGGGCCGTGGGGGCGGGGCGGGGCGGGGCGGGGCGGGCGGCGCTGGGCCGTGCGCAGAACGGCGCCAGTCTTCGTCGATGTCGGCCGGCCGCTGCCCGATTCCAGGGTAAGTGAACGTCGTGCACCGCCGACGACACACCGCGACACTGCACCGTGCGTCGTCAGCGACGCTGCACCGCGACACCGCTCCACCGACCCGCCGTACGATCTCTCGCGAGTCGCGAAACACAACCTATTGTTGTGTCAACCTAACCTATTACAATTGTGCATCGCGCGACACTGCATAGTGCTGAATGGACCCAAGACTCGGACATGATCTCAGGGTAAGGTGAACCTGACAGTGGTCACTATTGGATGGTTCTGCAGAGTGCAGACACCTTTGTCATGTTCTTTTATGCGATGTTCACTTGTGACCTTTCTGTCTCGAACGTGCCTTACTGACCTTTTGCATGTCCATTAATCGGTTGGAAGTTGAGTGCTTATTTGACTATAATGGAGCCCAAAAGATCTTTTACGGTCCGTGCAAATGTCAACAAAGAAGAAAGTCTCAGAGCTAAATCAACTTCAGAAATTAATGAATGGTAGGATGCATGGTTTGCCAAACGTGCATTGTTTCTCGTCTGACGTCATACATTATACTCTAATCCAGACAGAGCAGACACCAATGTAAAGCCCCCATTCATGACCACCCCAGTCCCCACCGTTTTGTTCAACATCTCTCCACTCAGCAGCCGCGTACCGCCTATATTTGAGTGCCCCACCCACCGGAGCTAGCAGCGGCCGCCGCAGGCCGCACTGTGTCAGGGCCGCGCGGTGCGCTGGTCGGCGGACCGTGACACCACAGCGAGTGACACGGTCACGTCACGGGAGGGTGGGGTGTACTACCTCTGCCTCTGCTCTGACACCGCAGCGAGTGACACGGCCATGCGTCACAGGAGGGTGGGGTTAGGGGTTCACTGCCTCTGCCTCTGCTCTGACACCACAGCGACTAGCGAGTGACACGATGCGTCGCAGAAGGGTAGGGTGGGGTATACTGCTGCGCTGACATTGTGTTTCGGCGGTTTCAACTGCTACTCCAGCTCTCCATGCCGCATTCTATGATGGCGGGGTGCACCGACACTATATCACTGACACTATGTCTGACAAACTTTGTAGCATCACTGTCACCCAACCACTATTTCATCGCTCCACATTCGTCCTTGCTGTCCCGAGACACAGTCACAAAACAGGGTGGGATGAGCGGCCACTGCACTGACATTGCGTCCGGTATACGTCACACTGTGCCTATAGCTCGCCGGAAAATGGTGCACAATGAGAGACCTGTTTGATTGAGTGACGGTATTACAGTGGCGGATCCCGGGGGGGGGGGGGGGTAAAATGGGCATTTGCCCCCCCAACGGCATGATTTTAACATTACGCCTATGGACGATGCATGGAAAGAATCGATAAATTGTTATGGTTTGCCCCCCCCCAAAAAAAACTCTGAGCTGGATCCGCCTCTGCGGTATTATACGCACACAGTACAAGGTCGTGTCAAGTGGAGATGGGACGGAGCTCTGTTAGCTGGCAAGCCCATTTAGGTCATTACACTGAAAGAAAAAATTATTCACGTTACCACCCCAAACTGAGTTGTCAAAACTCACGACGGCAACTACTCAGGTTCCCTTGGTAACTACTCTTTGGTACTCAGGAGATACTCATGTTAACACTAACGTGACTCATACATAACGTGAGTATTCCGGGTGAGTTGTCAAAACTCACCACCTAAGTACTCAGGTTTGAGCTTCTACTAAGACGCTACCCACAGTATTACCAAGGTGGACCACACACTTACTCAGGCTAATACTAACGATAACCAACTCTGAATAATGATAATACTAACCCATTTAAGATGGGTCTTACTAACGCGGATGCCAACGCATAAAACCAAAAATGCGTTCGTTAACCTTACGCCTTGCTGACGTGACAAACACGAGGAAAAACACTGAAGTTTATTACAAAAACCCATCATACGACATCTCTGCCAACATGCAATTCAAGGGCCGGGTACGGGGCGCAATCCGTTAAACACAACACTAAAAGAGGTCCGTAAAAAAAAACAATGAAACACTCCCATAGATCGCAAACACTGCGCGAGATCGCTTAGTTTTTGAACCGTTTCCTACCGCGAGATCGGCGCACTGCAGCTCGAAGGGTGCTGGCTGCTGGTATTCTGGCTCAGTAGCGCGAGGGCATGGAAGACCATGGGCGCACTTTCTCTGTCGCCATCCTTGAGACTGCAGTTTCCAGAAAACGCACCAGTGTCTCCGAAACTTTACTTTACCTATGGACCGAAAACAATAAGCTGTTAAGAAATAAAGCGAAAACTTCAGAAGACATCGGCGAGGTGTGTTAAATGGAATAGTTCACTTTCACGAAATTAGTTTTTTTTTCAATGGATTTATGATTTTTTATGCTCAAAATGATCAGCAAAAAAAACTTCTTATAAAAAAATATTATTTTCTATATTAATGAAGAAATACGATCGGCTTTGTATCGGATTTGGTGACAATCGGCGCAGCGCTTCTGGAGATAGGTATATCGAAAAAACTCGTCGTGAAATAACCCGTCGTGAAAACGGCTAGTGTTTTTCTTTTTGCAAAGCATGCCGCGGTAAATTATGCAGATGGCATAATTATATTCTATATACTGACACTGTGATTGCAAGATACAGAAAGAAGTAAAAAAAAAAATCTAGTAACTTTTTAGGAACCTGTTAGATGAGCTATAGATCTCCGTACCTATCGAACAGGAGCAGGCAGACTTCACATTCTGAAGCCACCCGGCGGCGAGCATCCGGCGTCGATCGGGGCGAGCGTCTGCACCGGCACCAGCCCCGGCAGCAGTGCGATGGTATATCCAAAAGAAACTGTAAAAGGAGATATACAGTCGGTATATTTTAATGACACATTTTTGAAAAAAACTACTACCCTATCTTAATATATCCATTATCCAACACAACCCAGACGAACCCAGCAGATAAAATATTTACATAATATTTTCACGTATTTAACCATCAAAACTTTTCATAGAACAAAAGCATTGACTATCGTCAAATACGCATTCCATTATTAAAATAACACTTACAAAGCACAAATCTTCACTAATTACCATCTTTAGGGCACATCTCTCTTCGGAGATGTGCTCTCACATCTCCCTCATGATCTCTCACGGTACCTTATATGCCTATTTCCTCGCGACACACAATTGCGCTTGTGGTCATTGATCAATAATAAATACTAATAAGGTAAGTATATGAACATACTTACTATTGGCCTCGGAATCCAAGTTTCAGTTTCTGCACACCAAGTCATGCCAAGTCCATAAAATGCTGCACACGCGAGCGACGCACTTTCACCACCAAGCAACAGAATTCAACTGAAATAATGGCAGACGCGCGCGAAACGTGCGCGGCTGTGCCACATCGGCTCAACCAATCAGCGAGCTGGAAGCCTACTCACGGCTAGATTACTAACCACATACTCATGATCCTGAGCATAAATACCAAGCATCGATGAGTACAGCATTTCCAAAATGCTACCGGTGATGCACATAAATCGATGCGAACATGCTTAATATTCAAAGCAAAATTTCGCCTTGCTTACCTTACGATAGCAAATAGCAAATGAAAATGTCACATAGTTAAATGGCATTTATTCACTATGAGAATAAATAGTGTTTTATTGTTTCGATGCCGTCATAAGCCTTGCTGTTTAGTTTTTCTATTCAGAGTAGGTACCTATAGCTCTCTTGCTAAGCGGCTGGGCATGGTTGGCAATTGGCATGAATATTGAATATTGAATGCGTCTTTTGAAGCTGTAGGCTTTATGCGATAATTGTAGGCCAGGTCAAAGGTTGTGTCATCCTACTTCATCGATTTGTAACTTTCCCAGATTCGACATTTCACACAGCTCGGTGTTGGTGCACAAATAAATCTATAGGATATACCCTATCGCTGATTAGTGCGCGTTCCACTCGTTCGCTCCATCATTGCTTACGAACCTCACCTTTTGGCTGTTAAAGGCCGTACATTCCCGTCGCGTGTGCTCATCCTCCTTGCGGGCGTCTTACCATAACCGCCAAACACGCCAACGGGACATAATGGAATGTTTATCTGGAATGTATATGCTAGACACAAGTTAAAGGTAGTGTGCCACCTTTGAAAGATTTCCCATTTTATTTTTCCTAGGATAAGAAGCTTCTGTTTTTACCTAATATCGCAAAAAAAAATCAAAAATGGGCCTGGAATAGTGCCTTTTTCGCCTAAAAGTTTATCGGTTTTTAGATATGTATAACAACTGTAGTGGGCTCACCTGCAAACAGGCGTCGGGCAACAATCGCGAATGCGGCGCACTTGTGACAATAAGCAAAGGTCATTATAGTGTTACGACCATACGACGTACGGGAATGAGTTATCAGCTGTCTACGTAGACAACACAATGTCGAGCCTTAAACTGTAAGCCCGTATTGGTATTGTTTCTTTTATTTGGCTGTCGAACATTATTTATGGTTTGAAATATGATTTTATGTAAAATAATTGATATGAAAAAGCCGTCTTATAAGTTATGACCCCATTTCACCACACGCAAGTGGCAGAAATGACAATGATCAGCTGACGCATTTTTATTGGCCGAAGTCAGAGCGCGCGGCCCGACGCACCACGCGTATTTGGAAATTCCGACCTCGACGAGCATCAGAAGCCACCTAACAGGCGTGTTCGAAACCGCAGGAGATGATGATGAACGGGTTTATCGAAACTTGATTGGATGAGCATATCGGTAATAGCGATTTCAGTGTGTGCATTTATTGTTCATAGTGGTGTGAAATGTGGTTGGGGTACGACCGACAACCCGTCGGGGCGAATTTCGCACTGGGGTACTCAAATTTTGAAGAATTTAAGACGTTTCCATGAATTTTGAAGGTATGGATAAGTTCTAAAAATCCGGTTCTCCTTATCTGGGCCATTAACTCCATACGGTCCAAGAAAGCTGGCACACTACCTTTAACATGTACGATCACACATCCAACAGTAACAAACATGCACGCGGTATGCGATGCCCGGCAGTTATAACCGAAACCCTGTCAGTACGTGGGCGCTGCCCACCGGGTCGCGCAAGTACGCCGCCTTGCTCTCCGGCAGCACGGCCGGGAGGGTCGCGGCGTGGGGCCGTATAGCTGCCGGAACCGCGCCTCGTCATTTCGGCTCAGGGCATCTGCCGCGCCGTTCTCCTTGGTTGGAATGTACAGTCCACAGCAGAAGTAATGTGGGGTTTCAGTCATGGGTATGTTCTGCTTCTGAAGCTTAGGAACGATTAGCCAGACTACAATGAAACTTTGAATGTAGCTTATATGTATCGTCACCCTTGCAGCTGCAACTTTAGCTATTGACATCTTCTTTTCGATCACTCCGCATTAAACAATCGCCAGTCAAAGCCAACCGTCGAGATTGGTAAAACCCTACATTACTTTAGCGGTGGGCTGTACGCTATCTCTAAAATGAAACCCCGGAGCGCAGTCCAAGCATGATCGATAACAAGACTTAGGCCGACGACGAGTGTGTCTATAGTAGTGATGTCATTTTCCAAAAAATGTCTAACCGATACCGACCGAAACCAAAATTTGGGGAAAATTTCCGACCGAATACCGACCGATAAATCCCAAGCCAAAATTTGACCGAAATTTGACCGAAATTCTATTTGCTATTACTCTACCCCAAAATTAAAATATTTGGCAAATTCTGATGGAAAATAATGGGAAATGGCATTTCAGTCCAAGTTCAGTCAATCCTCTAGCCACTGCAAAATACATTTTGTGGTAGAAGTTACATTGCTGAGGGTAGCAACACATGGACCTCAGCATTTCACAGATTTGGTTAATTAGAATTGTCAAGAATCTACTGTGGTCTATGTAAGGAAGAATGCTCATTCATGTTGCAAAAGCACGATCAATTAGTAAGTCAAATGGTTGGTAATAGGTACCTATGTTCATGACAACATTCCCTAGGAGAAAAGGCGGAATCAACACACCACAAAACACACCAAAACTGCTTGGAAACTTGCCTTGAGCCTTGAGATGTGGTCTGAGATACCCTACAAAGAATTTGACACTGAAAATCCAGCTGAAAAGGCAGGTACTAGGTAGCTCTGAGCTTGAATTTTGTCCCAAAAATGAAATGAAAATTCATAAACAGGCACTTTGTCTTATCTCTTGTTTTTCTTATCTTTACAAGAAAACAAAATATGCAGAGACAAAACTTATACAAAGTGGCGCCAAAGTGGCGCAAAAGTAATAGAAGAACCAAGGATTGACTTTTTAAGATCCTCTCTTCCCTAACGAAAGGATGTATGATGATGACGTAATATTTATTTATATGCGCTTTTGGTAGAATTATTGGAGGGAAATTAATTTTCTTGTAGTGGATTACACTCACAATGTTGATTTCATTAGAATTAAATATCGTGTTGGATCATTTACATCAAAAAATAATAATTCACGAGTCAGCATGTAACAATCCAAAACTTTTTTGCAGCAACTTAATCAGCTGGTTTAAAGTCTCTGTTATGGCGCATCTGTTTCGAAATCCTTCCTTGTGTTTGGAATGTGGAAGATTCCAGAAATTGGACATGGGCCGAATCTGTAGTTTTTGTCAAGATTCCTATGTTTTTATGTTGTGGTCATCTAGATTTCAAACATTTGGTTGGTACCTGCAATATTTAAGGAGAATGTGGAATAGTAGAACACCTGTGAAATGTAAATGTGATCACTGCTAAGTGCTAAGTGCTAACTGTCCAGTCTTCAGAAACACATTTCAGTAATTCAAGTTATTTTTGTCCTTGCATTTTTGATGACTGTATAATGATTTTTGCAGGCAATACTTCTTTGATTACAGGTGAAATTTAACAGTTAGACTGGAATAGAGTTTCAAAATTGTGTGTACTTGTGGGGCCAACTGAGTCAAAATCAGCCTGCTTGTAGTTGTGGTTGGACAATGGGTGGCTGCTGCCTGCTGGGTGGGATGGCTAATGAAGTTGCCAAAATGTGGCATTTGACATTTGGGGGAAATTTTGCAACTCTATCATTAACATCCCAATAAATTTCATTTTAACTAGGCAAAAATGGAATACTTTCTCTTTTTGAAAATGGTTTCACTGGCAGGGTGACCGAAAGTGTCCGATTTTTGGGGGGCCTGACCGACCGATTACCAAATCGGTCAGCATATATTTTCGGTAACCGAAATTTTCGGTAACCGATTGACACCACTAGTCTATAGGACGGTATTTTTGGATTGAAAGTTGCTATTGGGGAGGGTGGGAGGGGATCGTTTTCCACAGCCTGTCGCTTCGTTTCCACCCTTCCGCACTGTCCGCCGTCTCTGAGCGCGCGCCTTGGACTGCCCGACCTGTTTTGCGGCCTGTGTATATACTGTGCGTGTCTTATCTCGCCTCGGCCGAAGCCCGGTCCCCTCCCCCTGGACCCGGGTCGCCAACCGCGCCACGGCTCGGGTCTCCTCCCACCCCTCTGCCCCTCCCTCCCTCCTCGTGCTGGCCATCCTCCGCTCCCTCTATTCGAGCCCCAAATCAAGCTAATAGGTGGGACCTATTACTGATTAGGGTGTTTCATACTGTACGCTCCCCACATCTGTTGTCCAGTATTGGCTGTTAATGGCCGTCTGCACCCAAATCGCGTTATCGTTCATATCATGATCGATAACAAGACGCCAAACTAGCCAACGGAGCAGAATGTACGCGGTTATATAGGTATCCTGATTGTTGGCAATGCACACGACGTTCGGCATGAGCAGTGTTTCGTTCGCAGTTCCATAGCCTGCCGTGTCCGTCTGTCTGCTGTTTGCACTTCCCATCGGCCCGCCGACGCGGCGATTAGTGTTATGAGTTACGCCAGGTCCCCCTTTTTTGGCGTCCGCACACACTGACGAACACTTCCCTTCCCCATGTCGCCGACCCCCCCCTCTCTCCCCACTCTCTCTCTCTCTCTCTCTCTTTCCTCTCCCTCCCCTCTCTCTTCTCTCTCTCTCTCTCTCTCTCTCTCTCTCTCTCTCTCTCTCTCTCTCTCTCTCTCTCTCTCCCTCACTTTCCTCCCCGTCCGACGTCCGACTACGGGACGGACGGGCCCGTCCCACGGTCCCTCTCTTGTTTGTCGGTTTTCTGGGGGTGTAGCTTTATTACCGCAACGGCCGTCCAGAACCAATAGCACCACCGTGGCCACAGACCACCCTCATATCCACTTTCGCGTTTGACGATCGCTAGACGGCGATATTTGAAATTGACATGTTTGACTGGCACCGCCATTGCGTCCTTTTTATTGACACCATCCGAAGCCGTGCTGCTGTCGATATGCATGGACCAGTGGACGTCATGCTGCTGGTGGCCTGGTGCCTGGTGCAAAATAGGGTTGCCAGGTGTCCTTAGGGTATGTTATTCCCCAGCGACGGCAAAGTCCAAGTCGGCGCGGAGCCAAGCGTCTAAAGTCGACGCGGAGCCAAGCGTCTATGT